ATTTAAGTTTTATTATAATATTTTATAAAAATATATTTTTTTAAATATTTGCGGGTATCCACAGGCATTCACAGATATCCGCGGATTTTAAAATATCTGCGGGTATCTTTTAAGCAGATATCCGTGCGGGTAGCGGGTGAATTTTTTTGTCGGATCGGGTTGTAGGTAGACACTATCCGTGTCCCATCCGACCGCTTGTCATGACATGAATTTTACATATAAATACCATTCTCATTTATTTATATATATATATATATATATATATATATATATCACATATATAAAAACCAGAAAGGTATAAAATTTCCACCGTATTAAATTTAAGCATAAGAGTAAAAATATAAAGTTATAATTTAATTTATTAAAATGTCTTTTTCTATCACATAACACAAATTATTCATAAACTTTACCTAAAAATCTCTCCACTTTTATATTCAAATATCTTAATAAATAATATAAATTTCACTTTTAAATTCTCCTTAATTCATTCATTCCGCTTCACTCAAATTCATATTCAAAAGCGTTAGAGTAACATAAAAACATTATAAAAGTCAATGTTTCCTATTTTTTTATAATTATGTTTTAAGATCTTTTAATAAATTGAAAAAAAAATATTATACTTTTCTTAATTTTGACTATATATTAAATTTTCTACTTTTCTCTTTTCAGTTTTACATATTGTATATAGGTTTTTTAAACTAAAATATACAATATTATTTTTCATTCTAACAAGTTATTTATAAAAATATTATTTTATGCTTTTCTTTCTACATCATAATAAAACATATAGGTAGAGTGGTCAAATATTACGTTAAAAGCAATAATACAAATGACAAAATATGCTGAACTTAGAAAATAATTAATGTGATTTTATAATTATGTGAAGACTTAACGTTCACGTTCTATATAACGTTCAAGATTTATATATGGTATTAGTTATAAAGTTACGGTAAAACGTATTAATTTTGTTTACTCTAAATAAAATATTTATAACGATTTTCTTTTAATCTTGAAAATAATGAAAAGATGAAATAAAATATTTTGAATGAGTTGGAGAAAACTTTGACCATATAATGTTATAAATTTTAATATTAGTAGAAATTGAAACTGGTGGTAAAAAATTGAAGATTTTATTAAATATTGAATATGTTTTCAGTTGGAGACAGTAATAGTGTGTATAAATAGGGTTGTTGGTATTGCATTATGTCATACAAAAATAGAAAAGAAAAAGAAAAGAAAAGAAAAGAAGATTTTTGCAGAATGGAATTGAAGATGATGAAAGTGAAGATAGTGTTGGTGGGATTTATGATTATGGCTTTGGTTTTGTGTTCAGGAAATGAAATTCAGAAAAATGATGCGAAGGCGCCAAAGGGACCACTCATTTGCCCATTGGATTGGCTTTCCATTAAGATGTTTTGTGCAACTGAGGCAGACTGTCTTAAACAACAACCTGGTTCACTTTGTAAATGTCTTAACCACCAATGTTGTTGTCAGAGATAGAACTTTTTACTTTTCTCTTATCATTAATAATATAAACTTTCTATATCTATCAATAATAACTTTATAATCCTTTTCATATCATCTTGTTTCTCCTCATTATCCAATACATTCATACCAACATTTCTAAGGAATCAATCACAGAACCACCAATTTATGATAATTCACATATCAATCATATTATTATTTAGGGAATATTCATTAACACTTTATGAAAGTAAGTTTTGTCAGATATTAACACATTTATCATTTAAGCATACTTGAGTTTCATGGGTTTAATTAATATAAAGATCATCAAGAGGGTTTAGTAATGTTAAGTGTCATTAGACCATATATTCTTTATATCCTTGTAGATGATATTTTGTCTTAATTGTATAATTATTATTTTTATTTAGTGCTGAATTTCGACTAATAAATTTAGAGAACCAATATAATATATACTTAAAATTTATACATTTAATCATGGTTACTCATACCATAAAAATAAATATATAATTTTATATAACTATAACTATAAAAATATCATATATGTTTAACGGATTATACACTTGCTTATTTCAAATTCTTCAACTCATTAGTTGAATCAAAACTAAAGTATGGACTTCATTCTAAATTAATGTTTCTAATTTCATCTCTTTATTCATTAGATTCCATATTTGAGAACATTCTCCTATATTATATTCCAAATAATTAATACATAATTTTTTACTTGTAATTCGTTTTATCTTAAAGAAGGAAACAATCATATCATTAGTGTCATGGAATAGGTGAAAAAGGTGAATTTATTTGTGTTATTTTCATTTACACATGTAGCTTCCTTTTAATCATTTTTTAAATTTATTATTTTATTCTTCATTAATATACTTTTATAAAAAGTTCAACACTAAAAGATAAATTATCTTTATCCGGCAGACGTAATTACTAAATGGAAAAATTAAAATATTTAAGTCACACTTGAAAAAGTTATGAAAAAATATAAAATAGTTAAAATTTTCTTTTATGTTCATTAAAAAAACTAGTATACAAAAAAATAATGTATAAAAAATATATAAAACTAATATTTCACTATCAAATATGATAATAAAAAACTATATTTTTTTTAAAGAATGGAACAAAAGAAAAATAAGAGCAAAAATAATGAGTTTGGATTAATTTAAAAAAAAAGAAAACAAAAAGAACATATGAAATGGGAGAGAGTGAGAGATGAACATAAACCATAAATAACTTAAAGAGAATATTTTATTAAGTTTTTTTATTCTTTATTGTATTTAAGTTTATATTTTACTATTTATTAATATTAACGTACTTTATAAAAAAAATAAAAAAATCTACCTAATTTAATTCTCATAAATTTTCGTTATACATACATAAAATTTCGAAAGTTGGGAGGGTCACGAACACCCCCAAGAAGATTCAAAAGATTCGTTGTTGTTCTTATTCCTCAATTTACAGATAGACATGTTTTATTATTTGGAGTACGGTGACATATTTTTTGTGTGTAAAACCTTTTATTATAATACAGTTGTTTTTCTTTATTCTTGTTTTTGTGTCTTTTTTTTTTTCCTGTGAATCCAACACAAGGAGAGGTTGTTCAAACAAAAAAAAGCAAAGACGTGTAAGCAGAGGAACTTACTCAAGTAATGTGTGAATGACGATAACATGCATCTGTGATGTAAAATATACGTATTATGATGATGATGGATTGACCACATAAACTTATCAAGAAAATACTGTATCATATGCTTAATTGGTAATCAAATTACACAGATTAATGAGAAATTGAATAAGATTTGTGCACTAAACTATTTAAAAGTATATATATATATATATATATATATATATAAATTATTCTAATAAAGGAAGACGAGGATTGTAACACTTCTGTTTAAATGTCATGTGTAACTAAAATACAATTATGAAAAAATATTATAATATGGTAAAATATTTAAAAACTTAAAATTAATTAAAATTTGTAAAAATAATAAACAATCTCAATACAACTTGAAATATGATATTAAAATTTTTCAATATAATTTATTAAAAAGAAATAAAGTTTGAAAATTTTAAAAATAGTTGGAAACCATCATCACACATGAAGGATGAGCCAACAACATCAACACCCAAAAACACATATAATTATATAATTAATATAATATTGTTATCTAATAATGTATAAGCTCATAACATCAATCCATTTCACAACACAAAACATATTGTTAATTCAAACTCTTATCTAGATAAACCATGTCACCACCATCAATCACTATGCTATATGTCGTCTTTCTTACTTCAACACACGACCAATTCTTTTAAAAAAAATGCGGTTTATTGAAAAATTAAATAAATCATTAAAAGATTAAACTAATAAACAATATTTTTTTAAACAATCTATTGAAAAATTAAATAAATCATTAAAAAAATTGAATAAATAGATCATGCTTATTTAAAAAAAATACTATCTACATTGATAGAGAATATTTTTTCAAATAAGTGCGGTGGATTGATGAACATTAGATAACACTTTTTTTTAAACTTTATAGCCTTCCAATAGAGAATGCTAAAAAACGTTATCTGTTAAAAGATTTGATGATTTTGTAGTAGGAGATTTATCATTAAATTACATTATTGCTGCTTCAATTACTTATTGTGACCTTTAATTTAAAATCAAAACATTTAATAAGTTTAAAATTGAAACTGGTGGTAATAAATTGAAGACTTTAATAGTGTCACCTTTAATTATTAATTAAATGTTTTGTTTCTACGTGAAATATTGAATAGGTCGAGTTTTAAACATGAATGGTTTTTGCAATGTATTGAAGTGAGTATAAATAGGGTCGGTATACTGCATGATCTCCTATAGAACTTTTATCTTAGATAAATCATAATTATTTATGAATTTTATTTGTTACTTGCAGATTTTGACTGCAGGTAACTAACATTTTTTTAATATAAGTTGAAATTATATATCAATTAATTAAACAGCCTTTTCTTTTTTGTATGCAATATAGACAGCCTTCACGGGTGTGTTTAATATAAATATAGAAACAGGTGTGTTTTAAAAACATAAAAGGAATATTGAAATACAAGAGACAAAACGACCTTACAGATAGTGAGTGTGTTTTTTCTATAGCCCCTCATTAAGACAATAAACATGTAATTAAATACACCATAAACTAATTATTGAAAATCATTAAATAACAAATAACTGACAATATGTTGTAGTTGAATATAACAGTTGGATTTGACATTATGATATTGATGGCGTTGCTGGTGGCTTTACTGCGTCTCACATGAAAGGGTTGAAATTTCAGAACTCAACCAAAATCTGATAGCCGAAAGAGTCCGCCATCACACCAAGGCCAAGGCCAAGTCTAATCTTCTGCCTTTTGTCTCTTAGTATTAGTCAAAGTTTTCATTATACGTGACTTCTTCCTTTGAATATGTCTCTCTCTCTCACTATATATATATATAGACACGCCAACCCTATCTCTCATTCTCATCTTCAACATCTCCAAACTCAATCTCATCAACACACACATCCCATGGCTTCTTTACATACCACACCTCTCCTCTCTTCTTCTCTATCAAAAATCAACGCTTCTATTCGTCTCCCTAACCCTCCACCACTCTCTCGTTCTCTCCCAAAGCTACCATCAAAACCCCTGCGCATTGATCAACTTAATGGCTCCACACACACAATTCCATTGGAGAACAACGTTGTTACCAAACACATATATCAAGATTTATTCACTCCCACCGACACATCATCTCATAACCTCACTCTTCAACTCTACGCAATTTTGGAGCAAGTTTCTGACAGAATTGAAATGCACAAAAACATTGGCGAACAGAGAAACAACTGGAATACTCTTCTTCTTAACTCCCTCAACACGATCACTCTCACTGCCACGGCCATGGCCGGTGTTGCTGCAGCCACCACTGGTGACACCGGGGCACCGCTTTTGGCCTTGAAACTATCATCAACGCTCTTGTTTTCTGCCGCCACAGGGATGTCACTCATCATGAACAAAATTCAGCCCTCACAACTCGCCGAGGAGCAACGCAATGCTACAAGGTTGTTCAAAGAGCTTCATACCCAAATCCAAACCCTAATCACTATTGGAAATCCCACAGAGAAAGATGTGAAGAGTTCAATAGAGAAGGTGTTGGCACTCGACAAAGCTTACCCACTTCCCTTGTTGGGAGCCATGCTCGACAAGTTTCCCCAAAAATATGAACCAGCGGTCTGGTGGCCTTCGTCTCAGTCCCAGAGAAAAAGTA